CGGCTGTCCCTGCAAAGGGGGCGTGGTCTCAACTCCCGGGCCGCCGCCGAAACTCTGGGGCCGCGCTTGGCCGCAAGTACAAAGCGGGCTGGTTGGTGGCCGCTCTGCGGCCCGGCCGGGCCCGGCCGCGCGCTTCCCGGAGGGCCGCCGCCCCCGCGGCCCTGGAACCTGGTTTTGAAAGACGCCTTTTCGAACGCAAACGCCCGCCTCGGGGCCCCGCGGGGACGGCTCCGGGGAAGTGTGTGCTTTTTCAAAAGGCTCAGGTCCTCTTAACGGTTTGAGGCTTCCTGACCACACCCGCTGCCCCCCTTTCTGGGCCGGGCAGGGCCTCCTGGTCTCCCGCGTAAAGGACGCGCCCGCGATTCGCCCCCTTTCTGCTCTTCCAGGGGTGCGGGGGTAGGCTCTCACTAGGTTCCTCTCCAGCTTTCAAAGGCTGCATGTTTCACTGAACTATTTGAAGTATTTATAGGCAAATGCAATGCCCAGGGAAGCCGCCTGCCCGAGACTGCTCCTCCTCGCCACCTACCACAGACCCTGTCATTAGAGAGGCACGGGGAGGCCAGGAGAAGGCTCCGTGACCCCAACAGGCTCCAGCTCAGCCTGGAGCCGCTCCCGCGCGTCTCAGACGCACTGGTCCCTTGGTCTTCATTCACCTGAGACTTTCACCTCTGGGCTCTGCAGCGCTGGGCTTCCCCCAGGGAGTCAGGATTTAGGAAAACAGGAAAAGAATTCAGGGATAACCCAGGCAGGTCAGAGACCTCGAGGTTCATAGCCCCTCACCCTGGACTGAACCTCACAAGCTCTTCAACCTTGTATGCACTATGCACCAGCAGCTCCACGGTTTCTTCCACTCCCAGTAAAGATTTACAGTTTTAGAAAATCACAGGGACATTTCTATCCGGTCTGATAGGGTCACTGAGTCGGATTCGATGAGCTGGCAGTGAGTTTGGCTTCTGGAGATGCTCTAAGCATAAAGTACTGTGCTCTGGACAGAATAGATACCCAAATTGTTACTGAGTAAATGAAAGGATGATGCGAGCAGCTGTTCTGAAGAGGGATATGTTGCCTCCTAGGCTCAACGCCCTGCTGCATTACATCTGGAGAATCTCTTGTCCAGAATTCGCTTTCTGACTGAATTAGGGAAAGATAATGCGTCTTCCTCTCCTCAACTTACAAATGTCAAGATTTCAAAGCACTCCCAGGTTCCTAGTTCACAGTCGTTCCTGGCCCTGCAGTAGCAGCCTTTAGGAACATGCTAGAAAAGGCTGCGCTGGATCTGTTGTTAAACCCACTGCTGTGGAGTCTCTTCCAACTCCTGTGACCCTATAGGACATCCAGAACTGCCCCGTAGGGTTTTCAAAGCTCTCACCTCGACAGAAACACAGTCAACTCTTTCTTCCAGGGAGCTGGCTGTTGGCAGATTGGCACCATGAACCTTGATGGTTAGCAGCTAACGGCTTGACCATCAGGGCTCATTTTGTTGTTGGGTGTCTCTAGTCAGTGTTCAGCTCAAAGCAGGTGCATGTGACAGACTGGCACTGACCCTTAGATTATAAGAGTTTCGTGTAATCTTTTTTAGTAGAGTCCTGGCGGCACAATGGCTAAGCTTTTGCTAATGAATGGAAAGCTAGTGGCTGCAATCCACCCAGCATCTCTGCAGGAGAAAGACCTGGCATTCTGCAAATCTACTGCTGTTGTTTGATGTGGCCAAGTCAGTCTCGTGGGGCCGAGAAGAACAGGTTCATGGGGGGTTTCTCAACTGGAATCTGAGCTAGAGTCCATGGCCAGGTTTGTCTCCCACTGGCTAGGTTCCACCGCCAACCTGTCGGTTTGCAGCCAGGTGAATAGCAGTGAACTATCAGAACTCCTTAGAGCCTAGGCCTAGAAATTGAAAAAACCTTAAAGATGGGCCCCAACGATCTGTGCCCCAATCTGTTCAACTAGTGATTCTAACGCACTCTACAGTGTGAGAACTTCTGGCCTACTGGAACCGTCCCATGGGAAAGTAGAGGGCTAGTCTGTGACAAAGATCCTCAATGAGATGTGTTAGGCAGGGTTCTCTAGAGAAAAAACCCCAGAACACTTCTTGATATATATATATATATATATAAAGATAGGTTTATACAGCAAGAAGGAATAGAATAGCTAATTAGTCCACACAGCAGCACAGAGGGTTCAGGCCAACTCACTTCCGTAGAGCATTTAATATATCAGAAGTCTTTCAACTCATGTGGGCTGCCGGGTCCAAGGTCAAGGAAGCAGACAGCAGAGTCCTCCCTCAGGCAAGGTAAACAGGGTGGGTCACCAACAGTCAGTAGCTCGGGAGCTTAAGGAAGCAAGCCTGGATGGGATATCAAATGCAAGCAATGCAAGGCAACAGGATCCATCAGCCTCAGGCTCAAGCAATATCCGCACCAGCACTGTGGAGAAACAGGTCTTGAAGGAGCCTCAAGCTCTAGCAACACGATCCATGGGTTGGCTGGGCCCACAGGTAGGGTAGCTTATGGCTGAGGCAGAGAACTAGCTAAAGTACACTCTGATCACCAGAGAGCAAGAGAGAGGGGGCAGGCCTTGCAGAGCCATTTATCTCCTTGCCCTCCAATCAAACAGCAACCCGATTAATCCCACATGCTCCTATTGGCCAGGTTGGCACAATAAGCCAGCTATCACAGAGATAAACTGGCACAGTGGCCACGGCAATGGGCTCAAGCGCAGCAGTGATTAGGAGGGTGGCGCACAGCTGGACAGTGTTTCCTTCTGTGCCACAAGGAATCAGAACCAACTCAAAAGCACCCACAACCAATGATGATGCTCTCAGTGCTCTTCCAAGGCGTGTGAACCCTTAACTTGCATCAAAATTACCGGGGATATTGTCGAACCACGGATTCTGATTCAATAAGCCTAAGACTGAGGCTGAGATTCTGTGTCCTACAGACCACCCCTGCTGGTCGTCTATACGTTGAGTGTGGTCAATTAGTAGCACCTTTCTGTAGCACTGTGCGGAGGAGGATCCTGAGGGTATGCCTGTCCACAGCAGGCGGCCATAGTTGCCTGATAGGTTAGTGATGTCTGCCAAGAAATACAGCCAGAATTGGTCTTAGCGGCAAGAATAGGAATACTCCATCGTATGAATTTGGGACACGTTTTAGGAGACACCAGTCCCTGGAGAAGGACATCATGCTTGGTAGAAGGGCAGCGCAAAAGAGGAAGCCCCTCAACAACATGACGCAGTGGCCACAAGAATGGACTCAAACATAAGAATACCATGTGGATGGCCCAGGGCCCAGTGGTGTACAGAGGGCCGCTGTGAGTCCAAACAGACCCGATGCCACCTACCACCAGCAGCAGCCATGGGTACAGGAATGGAAATTACGGTGGATACATGCTATGTATTTGTACTCCTCAATCTTCCATTTAAATACTTGACCTTTGAATATATACCAGTCTGAAAAACAGCACTACTATTAAAAAAAAAAAACTAAAATTATTTTCTTCACAAAGCTGAGGGTGCCCAGCTATCAAAAGATATAGCGTCTGGGGTCTTAAAAGCTTGAAGGTAAACAAGCGGCCATCTAGCTCAGAAGCAACAAAGTCCACATGGAAGAAACACACCAGGCTCTGTTATCACGAGGTGTCAAAGGGATCAGGTATCAGGCATCATAGAACAAGAAATCATATCATTGTGAATGAATGTGAATGCGGGGTGGGGACCAAAAGCCCATCTGTAGGCAACTGGACATCCCCTTACAGAAGGGTTAAGGGGAGAAGATGAGCCAGTCAGGGTGCAGTGTAGCAATGATGAAACATACAACTTTCCTCTAGTTCCTAAATGCTTCCTCTCCCTCCCCAGTCTTCCCCACCAAACTGTCCTGGTCCCAATTCTACCTTACAAATCTGGCTGGACCGGAGGATGTACATTGATACAGGTGGGAGCTGGGAACACAGGGAATCCAGGGCAGATGATCCCTTCGGGACCAGTAGTGAGGGTGGCAATACCTGGAGGGTGGAGGGAGGGTGGTGTGGAAAGGGGGAACCGATTACAAGGATCTACATATAACCTCCTCCCTGGGGGATGAACAACCGAAAAGTGGGTGAAGGGAGAACGTCAGGCAGTGTAAGATATGACAAAATGATAATTTATAAATTATCGAGGGTTCATGAGGGAGGGGGAGCAGGGAGAGAGTAGGAAAAATGAGGAGCTGATGCCAGGGGCTTGAGTGGAGAGCAAATGTTTTGAGAATGATGAGGGCAACGAAAATACAAATGTGCTTTACACTGGCCAGAGCTTCCCAAACCAACAAGGGATAGCAAAGCACTATGGGGGTCTATTCTCTGGGCCTTAAAAGAGGAGGTAAAGGAACAGTTTCCTTAACTT